TCAAGAACCATAAAACCTTGAAATCCTTATTACAAATCCCTCTCTCACTACAAACAAGCCATCACAGTTACAAACCAACACCTCATTACTTCTTCAGTAAGGATAAGACTGACTTGATCTCCAAAAGCCAAAAGCCAAAAGCCAAAAGTCAAATGGCCAAAAGAACAACTTATGCATGACGAGACAGACATCCTGAGAAGATTAAGTAACGTTGAGACCAAAACACAAATGGCCAACAGCCAGAACACAAATGACCATGAAACCCAATCCAATGGCCAAAGAATGCAGACCACGGTACTCAGGAGTCAATGAACACGCATGTGATGCCAGAAAGTCAAACAATGCTTTTTGTCTAATGGGCCAGATTTCTCACAAAAAACCTCCCTTTGGGTCTGAATACCCCCCATGGTTTGCACATTTTTATTTTTTATTTGATTTTCCTTTTTATTCTTTTAATTGTTTTCAATTGTTTTCTTTAATTTCATAAATTAATTTTCATAAGATAAAAAATCAGAAACTAAAATATATTTAATTATTATTATTTCACTATTAATTTATTTTGTAAATAAACTTTAATAATTAGTTTAGTAAATTAGGTTTTAAAACTTTAATCTTTTTCTCAATAAATTAAAATATGTAGAAATTAGGTTTTTTTTAACTTTTTATCACTTTTCTTAATAAATAATTTTTTCTTATTATCATTATTAGTAATTACTAATTTATTTTGTAAATAAACATGTACATTAAATATTTAGTAAATTAGGTTAAACTTTAATATTTTTCTTTAATAATTAAAAACAACTTAGAATTAGGGTTTCTCTTGAATTTTAATTTTCTTTATTTCATAAATACAAAAACCATCAAAAAAACATTTCTTTTCTTTAATTTAATAATTAATTAACTTTTCATTCAATTAAATTCCAAAAGGGTCCAACGCCCTCGAACGTTCTTTTTTTATTCTTTTCGCGCATTTATTCTTATTTTCCTTTTTTTATATTATGTAATTGCTCAAGCCTTGTAATAGTAATTAGGAATTTATTTACTTTCCGTATTTTTATTCAAAACGGGTCTTTGTTAATTTGCCGATGTATAGACCCGCGCCTTGTAATAGCGTAGGACTTTATTTTCCGCATTTAAATTTTCGCACTTTTAAATTCTAAATGCATGAAAGAATGTATGGCCTAAAATAAAAACAAGCGTAGATCACCTATGACATGTACAAGATAAATGCTAAACTGAAAACAACACACAAATTCACACACCACTCTTAGGGTACGCCTCACTGTTGCCTTGCCTTCGAAACGTGGTCGTCGAGTATAGGACGTTTTAGTAAGTCCTTATGTCCATGATCTATGGCATAAGGGTAGCTTATAAGGTGTCCTACTGTTGCTCTGGTGACCACACTGTCCCTAACAAACGAATTGACCCGAACACCTCCAACGGTGGTGCTACCTACCTCTCAATGGTGGGATGGCACTACCTTAAGGACTTCTACACAGCCTAATTCCTTAGGATAGGTGGATGACTCATAGATACTTGCTCTATTCAAAAACAAATCAAACTCTTTTCACACCGACACTTTTCAAAAAGCTTTCAAAAACAATTTTTCAAACACTCTTGAGGACTGATACAAGAGTCGATCTGAAATCTTTAAAACGAAACTTTTTCAAACTCACTCACAATTGAAAAGCAAACATTTTGAAAACACAAATGAGCAAGTATCTAAGAGCCCATGGATAACCATGGATAGAAAGGGTGCTAACACCTTCCCTTTCTATAAATCTACCTCCCGAACCGAGAAACTATCTCATAAGGAATTTTACTGTGCTTTTGTCCTGTCCATGTTGGAGAAAATAAAAGACGGTGACGACTCTTGCTTCCGCGACACTTCGCGAACCAGCTTTAAACAGTCAGTTCTATTTCCACCGATCACAGAACTGACGACTCTGCTGAGGACTATTTTAAAGTGAGGTGTACCTTAGGACTAAGATCACTTGTGTTTTCAATTGTGTGAATTGTTTGCTTTAAATTATGGGCCTGTCTTGGGAGTTCTATAGATCCTAACCCGGATCTGGGGATACCTTCTTAGAAAGTAGCAACAAGGCTGTGAGGGAACTGTGTGGGGTATACCGACATGGTTGAAGCAGTCTGCTACGTTGATGTGGCACTTTGGTGTGTACCGGTAACTCTTGAGTCCAGTCAAGGAGAGTACGGGGCCTCCGCGTGGTGTCGTGAAGCATCAACTGACCTTAGGAACCTTAATTGAACCATCTTGGCCTCTTTAGGGTAGTGAGATAATTGACTTTGGTGCAGTCCGAGGTTGGTTGATACTCGATACTACACTCAATTGAGGGTTGTTTTCTTGGAATATTTCGGTCGCCAGTTCAGTGGCTAAATCGAAACGATGAACAATGAAAGCAATCCAATGATATTGGGACCCTTAGAACCTAGTTACTTATGATAGGACAGGTTGAGCCCACCAACTTCAAGAGGGTAATACCTAGACCCTATGCTGGCCTAAACTCTAAGGGCTCTTTGTGTGACTTGTGTGCTTTCAAACTTGACTATTTGCATGCTTGTTATCTGACACTCGAATTTCTTGCAGGTTTTGTTTACAGTCCTTAATCTGGACTCATAACAAGGTTTACCTACATTACTCCACGCATAGCATAACATCATAACATCATATCATTGCATACATCCCACATAAGACTAACCCATTTCAAGGATCTCAAGGGCTTGTGATGCAGGTCATGATGAACCAAAATGTCTAGCAAGGGGCAAAGGGGATTTATTTTCCTCTAGCCAGGTTGATGACTTAAGTCAGGGGCGATGACCCACTTGATATGGTGAGCCTTGACTCTTGAAGAAGGCCTCTCAACAGTATGCAGTGCCTTCCATCAAGCTACAAAATTCAAAATTCTAACAATTTTTCTTGTCTACCCCGCGAGATCCTTGAAAACATTGCACGCATATCATACATATTATTGCATTACAGGTACTCTTTTTGACAGGTCATTTACCTTCTTCGCTGTTTATTTCAGCAATGGCTTCCCAACAAGATAACCAGGGTCTTCATGCTCAAGAGACTCAGTTCAGGGAGATCTTTCTAAGCCTATCCAAGGGGCAGGAAGAGTTAAGGACGCTCCTCATGGGGAATCTGGCCAAGAAAAGTCCCGAGGATGACAAGGACGAACGACTGAAATGCCTACAAGCTGAGGTAGATACAATGAAAACCCAGATGCTGGGGCAAAGGGCTCTCATTCAAGGTTTAGCTCGGGAGCAACAAGAGTTGAGGACCATGATCAGTCAACTCCACCAAGACAGATCCAACATGAAGCAACCAGTCCGAGTCAGGGACCAGGTATTTGATCAGCTTCCAAGAGGACAAGAGTCTGGTATGGTGAAGAATGGACCTCTCCAAATTGCTACTACTTCACAATCCCAACATCAACCTCGCCCAGAGTAACAAGTTGATCAGAATAAGCCAAGCAAGTCCAAGAGGCAATTCACCCAGCTTAACATGTCGCTGTTTCAAGCTCTACAACACCTGTTGAGGTTGAATCTGGTTACACTAAGGGCTCCTCCCCGGAACCCCAACATCTATGCTCCTAACTATCATCCCAACAAAAGATGTGCATACCACTCTGATAGTCCTGGACATGACACTGCCGACTGATGGGCTCTGAAGAATAAGGTCCAAGACCTGATTAATGAAGGAGTAGTGGATTTCACCCAAGTGGGTCAGGCTGAGTGCTTCTACCATCCCTACAGGATTCACCATTTGAAGTAACAAGCCCTGAAATGAGAAGACTTTTTGTCTATTAGAATTTTCAAGTTGTAATTTTCTTTTGATTGTTCAAACATTTACTCATGTTAAACGTTGTTATTTCATTAATGCATCACATATGTCTGTTTTGAATCAATATATTCGCATTCGCTATATTCAAACTGCTTTCATTTTTTGATGTCAACTCTCAATTAATAATTCTAAGCCTCTTGAGGGAGGATGACGAAAACGATACCACAATCTACAATATGCTTTTGAACAGACCCCGCTGATGAGGTACAAGCATTGTTTCAATTCCTAAACACTGGAGTAATAAGGAAGATAATCCCTCGTCAACCCCTTTGAGCCAAAGAAGTAGGAGTTTTTCTTTTCGAAAATTAAAACCCTTAATCATAACCTGGGGCAGGGTAGTTCTCTCAGTTGATCCAAGTGCATAACGAATGGCACCAAAGAGGTCCTTACAAAACAAAAGACAATGATGGTTCAGAATAATCATAAAGACAGGCAGTCATTACCAAAATCAAAAAGCCCATTAAGTCAAAACCTATGAAGGAGACTTACAAAACTGGGGCATCCCGCTGACTGTAATCACAAAAGAAACAGTTCAGGCAAAAAAAAACAGGGATAACAAAAATAAAAAAAAAGAAAGAGGTACTACAAACCCTCAACAAGAAAGGAAAATGACTGCCTATTCCAAATAAACTATCAATATCCGAACCATCATCGGAATATCAGAGCAAAGACTCAAACAAGGTCTAACGCACGATCAACTGAGGTTAGGATTGAAGAACATCACGAAGAGCGGGTGGGTACAAATAAAATTTGAGCATTTATCCTTTGTTTCTTAAACCGTGAACCATGCCACGTTACAACCCTTAAAAGTCCTAGCTGAAGCATGTGTTAGTTCGAAAACATACTGTTACGAAAGGTATCCTGACTCCTTAAGACTCGCAGTAAAATAACGAGTTTGACATCACAGTTTACAAAAAAATTCACTTATTTTATTAAAAAAATGCATTTTCAAAAACTTCAAGACAGTAGGTCAATATTATTCTAATTTTATAATCACAGTAGGTCAACAAAATTGAAATTTTGTGATTTCCTCGCTTAGTCTTAAATCGTTGTTATGGTTTTATTTTATTTGCAAAACCAAAAAAAAACTACAAACAGAAAACCAAAACCCTGAGGCAGAAAAGAAAGGAGGAAGACGATGAACACGACCACCAGCACCGGCGGCGGCGGAGGCGGCGGCAACGAACAACATCTTATCAAAACCATAACCACAATACTAACCACCCACCAAAACCCACAGAGCCTTCAACCTTTCATCCCTCACCTCACTCTCCCCATCATCATCTCAATCCTCTCATGGAAGCCACTTCACTCTCACCCCCAAACCCTAGTTTCCTTCTTCAAATGGTTCCAAACCAACGCACCCTCCTGCCTCTCCATTTCCCCTAAACCCCTCCTCACTCTCCTCCCTCCTCTCCTCTCCCGCCGCAAATTCTCCGACGCTAAATCCCTCCTCCTCGACTTCATCTCCTCCGATCACCCTCGCCATTCCCTTCACTCCCGCCTCCTCCGCTCCGATCACTCCATCCCTAAACCTCTCCTTGACACCTCCATAGCGGCTTACGTTCTCTCCCAACAACCTCAACTCGCTTTCGAGATCTTCAACAAAATGAAACGCCTCCGTTTTCGACCGAATCTTCTCACTTGCAACACTCTCCTTAACGCGCTCGTCAGGTCGAATTCCTCCCATTCTATTCTTTTGTCAAGACAGGTTTTTCACGATTCAATAAAACTTGGTGTTCAGCCTAACACCAACACGTTTAACATTCTGATTCATGGTTATTGTTCTAATAATAATTTCAACGAGGCGTTTCGGTTGATTAATCAAATGGGTGAGTTTGGTTGTTGTCCTGATAATGTTACTTATAATACTGTATTGAATGCTTTGTGTAAGAGGAGTCAGTTGAGTAAAGTTAGGGATTTGTTGCAGCAGATGAAGAGTAGTGGTCTTGTTCCTAATAGGAATACTTATAATATTTTGGTTCATGGGTATTGTAAGGTGAAATGGTTGAAAGAAGCTGCTGAGGTGATTGAATTGATGACCGGGAATGATATGTTGCCGGATGTTTGGACTTATAATACTATGGTTAGAGGTTTATGTGACGAGGGTAAGATTGACGAGGCTATTAGGCTTAGAGATGAGATGGAGAATTTGAGACGGGTGCCTGATGTTGTTACGTATAATACTTTGATTGATGGGTGTTTTGAACATCGGGGTAGCGTTGAAGCACATAAGTTGGTAGAGGAAATGAAGTCGAGGGGGGTCAAGGAAAATGCTGTGACTCATAATATAATGGTTAAATGGTTTTGTAGGGAAGGTAAGATTGATGAGGCGAGTAATGTAATGGTAAAGATGGCGGAAAGTGGGTTTTCTCCGGATTGTTTTACTTATAACACTATGATTAATAGTTATTGTAAGGCTGGGAAGATGGGAGAGGCATTTAAGATGATGGATGAAATGGGAAGGAAGGGATTGAAAACGGATACTTTTACTCTAAACACCCTATTGCATATATTGTGCTCGGAGAAGAAGCTAGAGGATGCATATAACTTGACTATAAATGCCAGGAAGCGAGGTTATATTCTTGATGAGGTAACATATGGAACTCTAATCATGGGGTATTTCAAGGATGAACAAGCAGACAGGGCGTTGAAGCTTTGGGATGAGATGAAGGAAAAAGGGATTGTTCCCACTGTTGTCACTTATAACACTATAATCAGGGGATTGTGTCTGTCTGGAAAAACTGATCAAGCTGTTGATAAACTGAATGAGCTTTTAGAAAAGGGTTTGGTCCCGGATGAAGCTACTTGTAACATAATTATTCATGGTTACTGCTGGGAAGGAGCGGTAGAGAAAGCATTTCAGTTCCATAACAAAATGGTAGAGCACTCGTTCAAGCCAGACATTTTCACGTGTAATATTCTTCTCCGGGGACTTTGTAGAGGGGGTAAGCTGGAGAAAGGTCTTACCCTATTTAATACATGGATCTCTAAAGGGAAGCCCATTGACATAGTCACATACAACATAGTAATATCCTCTTTTTGCCAAGAAGGACGACTTGAGGATGCATTCGATCTTATGGTGGAAATGGAGAGGAAAAATATGGAGCCTGATCGATATACCTATAATGCTATTGTGAGTGCACTTACTAATGCTGGTAGAACTGAGGAAGCAGAAAAATTTGTTTCGAAGCTTGCAGAGAAAGGGCAAGATATGAAAGCTCAAGACACTTCTCCGGAGGTTGGTACAAGTGATATGATGTACTCGGAGCAAATAAGTAGTTTGTGTACTGAGGGGAAGTACAAGGAAGCAATGAAACTGTTTCAACAGGCAGAGCAGAAAGGAGTTTGTTTAAATAAATATACATATATCAAGCTAATGGATGGGCTATTGAAGAGGCGGAAAAGCATATCAAAGGTTGCCAGATAAGAATTACACTATAGACTGTCTCGGTATGTATTTTGCCATTTGGATTTTTGTTGTTCATAATGATGTATTATGATGTAAAAACAATGTTGTGACAGCACCAATGATGTCACGCAAGTTTTGATTTTCCAATACAATATTTAGTTAGTTTTTTCAACTATGGTGACTATTTCGCCTTTTGCCTCCATATGCATGTGTTTTTTTGTTGGTTTCTAGAATTAACTATCATTATTAGGATTCTTATACGTGCTCGGAGTGTAAAATTGTATACTTATGTAGAGATTCTAATTGTCATGCCATATATGACATCTGCATTCACTTGAAATTGAAATTTGTTTAGCTTGTTGATTCAGCTCCTAGTTTTATTTTTACTAATATAAGACTCAAGTGCTTGGACTGAACTATAACGAGTGGGCAGAAGCTGGAATAAATGGCGGTTCAAACTTAACTGGACTTTTTTTGGTTCAAAAAACTGAAGTAAATCATACATTCATACTGCACATATTACAGAACTGCACTAATCTTTTAATAACTGCACTTTTAAAACTGATTTTCAGACTGAACAGGGTTCGTTACAAGTTACAATGGTTCACTACACTGAACTCCACTCCAATACAGTATGATGAACAACACTAGAACCCTAACTGCTCACTCTGTCACGGATCATTGCTCCATGATCTTTCTTTTGTTGCTTTCTTTGTTCTGATTCAAGGGAAACCATTTTAGTCCGGTTCTTGTAAGTTTCGCGATTTCAGGTTAGATCCCAGAATTACTGGCCCTGTGTATTCATGCGTGCGAAATCTGGATTAGTGATTTTCTTGCTGTTAAGGTGATTTGTTCGCTGTTACGGTGATTTGTTCGCTGTTACGGTGATTTGTTCGACCACATATATTTAGAGGATTTTATACATTTGTAATGATTAGATCAGATTCTGTTTTTTTTTTTTGTGGTATTGGAGAGAGTAGTTCAGCTTGTACTTTATAGGACTTTCTAAACTTCAGTCATGTTTGTTCACATACAACTCAACCAACCCTGGAATGTGATGCCTTAGTTTGCCATGCTTATTAGTAGTCTGCAATTAGCCCTGAACATGTGATGCACTTAGTTACTTATGTGCAGAATTGCATTCTGTCCCGTCCAATTTCCCTAACACCAGCAAATCTTTTTTATTTGCTCACTGTGTACTTTTGATGATCCCCCAAGTTGCTCATCCCGAAGAAGTACATAATGATCTAGCAGAAGTGCGAGCTATTGATGACCATTCCGGAACTGCAATGTTTGCACAGTTGGGTAATCTTAATGGAAAATAAAATGAAACCAGCTTTATTCCACAAATGGAACCACCACCTGGACTGTTACGAATAGTGTTGTAGATGCATTAGCCGAACTTTGGTGTGCATATGCATCCTTTTTCTAGGATATCAAATATTGTTGTAGATGAGTAGCCGAATCAACTGCAAACGGAAAGCAAAGGTATTTCAGGATATGATGTTTCCCTTTACTTCATTTCATTTTACTTAGCTTACCGTTCCATTCACATAAGTTGAGCAATATATTTATGTTTGTGTAGGTTCCAGTCATTCGACAAGGGTATCTTTCAAAACATTCTTCCAATTGGAGGGGTGACTGGAAGAGAAGGTTGATGCTGAGCAATCAGATGTAAGCTTCTGCTTCAGAATTATTTTACCCTTAAAGATGTATGCTTTGCAGGTATGCTGCATACATACTCCATAAATTGAATTTATTAACATATAGTTTGACAGTGATCATCACTCTTTACCATGTTTTGGAAAAATCAATGTGACCCCTCCTCACATTGGGCAACTCTATGCTGGAGAAATTTCAAATATATATATATATATATATATATATATATATATATATATATATATATATATATATATATATTTAAATTTAAATTTGTTGCCGATTAAGTAGGTAAGGGTTTAAGAAGCAAATTAGCTCAATTACTTAATTGAGTATGAATACTTTTTGGCATGGGCACATCAGTATAAGGGATGACGTGACATAAGATCTCCTTCCGATGTCATTCCAGAACGTAAGTGCATCAGCGGACAGGTTCTGGAAGCACCGACTTTTAGTCAATTTATTTGAGTTATTGAGCTGATTTGAGAGTCTCAACAAATTATTATGTATTGAATCGTCAATGTAATGCATTTATTTTAACTATGAATGAAAAATTGGTATTTACACTAAATCAATTTTATTTCTATTTTTTGTGAACGAGGTATCTTAACTACAGATTAATTCTGAGTTAGGAAGAATCACGAAGAGCGGCAAAAAAAAAAGTCTTTCTCAGGATCTCTAACTAGTATATATGGCAAAACGGGCTATCCGGTCCGCGATGAACCGGCCCATGACAGGCTCGGGCTTTATGTGGGCTGGGCTAAAAACCTGTTTTGTAAACGGACTACAATTTGATTGACCAAGTCCGGCCCTTTGTGGGGCTCTATTTTTTCGGGCCAGCCCAATTTATATTTAATATTTATTTTTTAAATATAAAAAGTGATTATTTTTATATATTTTAAAATTTATAAAAAAAAGTTAAGATATTACAGAACATATTGTATATCTCAGTAAACAAATATATAAAGAGCTTTTTAGCCCAGCCCGCATAAAATCCAAGCCCGTCATGGGCGGTCTTGCTTCTTTGCCAAATATATACTTAGTACACACCATATATATATATATATATATATATATATATATATATATATATATATATATATATATATATATATATATATATATATATATATATATATATATATATATACTCAACTAGTAAACTATCCGTGCGACACGCGTTGCACGGGTACATTTATTTTATATTATATATATATAATTTGTTTAGATATTTATAAATATTGAATGATAAATATAATTATATAAAGAATAATAATACTCATGCGTTTATAGGTTAAAATAATTTTGTATGGTGAATTTGTACTCATACATTCATATACATATCGAAAGCAATATTTATTAATGTTTTTTTGGGTGAATTTAATTGGTCATGTCTTGTTATAAATTTTAAAATGTTATTTAAAACTTTTGATAATAATATTAAGAATGATTTAATACATGACAAAAATAATAAAGTTATATTTGTATTAAAAATGATCCATTAACACTTAAAAATGTTAATTTATAACTCCAGCTAAGTATTAGTTTAGATCATTAATTTTACAGATTTCTGAATTTATTTTTTTATATCAAAGAAAAATGTGTGTACAATTATGTCTTATCTTCTCTTCATCAGCCATCAACCTGAAACAATTATAAATAATAAAGAGAATGAAATCAATCCATATAATATAGCATATATAATCATGTTTTAAATTTGATAATGATATTAAGAATGTTTTGATACATGACAAAAATAATAAAATTATATTTGTATTAAAATGAAATTGAATAAATGAAATCAAAGTTAAAGAGATAACACGTCCTCTACCTTCTCAAATCTCATCTAAAAAATGCTATTGGCCATTTACAAAGTGTTCTGGACTGGGCCCGACTGGCCCAATAGCATTGATAAGGCCCAATCCAAACGGATTTACTGGGGGCCACGCCGACCAAAGGATCACAGCCGTGCCCGACGTGCTCTCTGGGGCTACTTGCTCGACCTCCTATTGTCCAGCTCGACCTCACCTCGAGCACCCATCTTAGGGCAAATTCAGTCCACTGCACCCTCAACGGGACTCCGAGAAGACCGCGTCTCTGTCCACCCGCACTTCACCCAGAACATCCAGGGAGGGGACCACGTGCGGGTCCCCACTACGCACGTAGAACCTGGCAGTTCATCCATTGGGCCAAACCTGCCCGACCCAATGAAGGAACCTTGGCCCAGCGCTAGGGGCTATAAATACCCTATGTTTCCAGAGGGTCAGGTATTCATCATTCTACCCATACTCTTATTATTTCCTGCTCGTGCTCTTACTCACTTCAGCATCGGAGTGTCTTGCAGGTACCCCCCACCTCGTTCAAAACTCCCGGGACGGAGCCAGCCGTGACGGTCCAAGTCTGATCAGGTTAGATCAGTGGCGCCGTCTGTGGGAAACTAGCTTCCCCGTCTTGCAAACTCAAAGACCAAAGCTCAAATTCAACTACCTGTCATGGCTGATCAAGCTCGCGACGAGAAGAACGTCCGTGTCGCCGACACTAATAACGGCACCGCGGACAAAAACGGACATCTTGACAACACCGGCAATCCCGGCCACAACACCATTCCTGCGACAACCTCCCCCGGAACTTCCTCCTACAGGGACGGAGCTACTGCATCATCCTCCTCGCTCCCACCACCACTCGAGGACGACCCGGCGGCCCTCGCGCATTACAGAGCCGCCCGGTTCCAGGAAGTCCCCGTCCCCTCCGAGGCGGATGCCACAACACAAGCGCTATTCGCAGCAATTAATCAAACGAACTATCTCATCTTCGCCCAAGGAGAGAGACTAAAGGCGCTTGAAGACGAGCGAAGACCCCCGAGGAGGCATCGGAGACCACATACTCCCCCTCCTCGAGTGACTGAAGCTCGACACCCTTCTCCCCCGCGGAGACATTACAGGGAGACTTCTCGAAGCCCATCTCCCCGACCAAAACAGAGACGGCCTTATCTGGAGAGGCAGCCCGTCATTCAGGCTGGAGAGCCCAGTCGCGACCCGACAGTACTAGAAAGAAGGCACTCCGGAGAGGGGCGTGTGAAATTCAACAGCCGAGCATCCCGCTCGAGAGAAACTCAGCACGATCTGGACCGTCGTGCCAGACAATATTACAGGTCCCCATCTCTGTCTCCGGAGAGAAGCGACGAGGACGACCCCCGCGGTCCCCTGTCACAGGCTATTATGGAGGCACCCATCCCCCCGGGCATGGAGAAGCCTCCTCATTTGAAGGAGTACGATGGAGTCGCGGACCCGGTCGACCACATAGACGGGTTCGAGGCTATGCTTCATTATCACAATGTCGGGGGCCCCATCAAGTAC